TTTTTCTTCCTTGGTGATTCCAGAAAGGGTCACCTCGAGCTTTTGCAAGGGCGAACGGTCCGAAGCCCAATCTTTACGAGGTCCATTTGTAGAACGGACAGTGTTTGATCGGCTCGGGGCTGACGACATGCTCGCTGGCGCGGTGGGAGCCTCGACCTGATGCTCTTCATTCTGCTGCGTGTCTTGGATATATTCCGCAGGTGGGAGGCCTCGAGGCGTGGTTGATTCCTCTGTTAACCCCGGTGGTGTTTGTAGTGTCGACCTGCGAGTTGTATAGTTTGATTCATCGGCCGGAAAATCTCGAGCACGCGCAGAAAAGGATCGACCGGCCTGGCCGGATGATCTGGCAGCAGCGGTGGCCTTGGGCGCGGAACGTGGATATCGACGTTCTGCTGCTGTAGGCTCGTACGTCGGCTCATCTTCATAGTCCATCGTCGCTGGACCGGCTATCGACTGTCTGCGACCCGAATCCGAATTGGTACCATTGGGATTCCGGTGATTAGAATTGCCATTTGCCATTTCAGGCGAGTCGCGCATTGCCGCGGCGGCCATTTATTTTGTTATTACTATCTCTCGCGGGGAGAGAACCAGTCAATCGACGAAACTTGTTCGGTGGACCCAGCTAACCAACGGTTCTGGTTAACTCTATCACTCACCAACCCATTGTTTTGAAGGGCAGGAAAGATGGGGGAAACAAGAAATTCGACTTACATTCTTCAGTCCAACCTTCTGCTTCTTCTGAAACGTGGGCGCAATGTCGCTCTGTCTGGTGCCTAACGTAGACTCACCACCTCATCGCCCGAGATCGGGTTGCACGGGGATTTCGCAGTCCCTCGAGCCTGAGATTCTGAGCGGCGAAAGGAGAAATGAGTCTGGAATGACTGGAGGGCGGGTTTGCAATTGCAGTGAAGACTTGGGAGAAGGAAGAAAAGAGGGGAGGGGAAGAACGGAGTGGTAGTAGAGAGCAACTATAGGGCAACTCGCAACTTTCAACAGTCAACTCTGGTGGCTGGGGAGCCCCAGCCTTCGCGGGGCCCACCGTCATTGGACGTGTGTAATTGGACTTCTAGTGCAGTAGTAAAATAGGGAAATAAGAAAATACAAATTAAAAATGGAAATAAATTCTGACATTTTCAGAGTGCCAAGGAGAGTGGTTTATTTACTCTGTCTACTATGTCTACTACAGCCTATGGACTAACTAAATAGTTACTCCATTCGTATCCGCACTCTCCCACTCCGCACACTATATGGACACCTCCGTATACTTCTAGACCAGTGGAGCTCCAAGGCACAATCCCCATGCAAGGACTCGCAGGCTAGTGGTGTCCTGCCTAATGTATGCCATGTACTCCGTACAGTACGAAGTACTCGTACTCCATGAACTCAGTAACTTTCTCTCTGTTACTATTTCTAGACGCCCGATACCAAGTCGGCCAATGACCTTGCTACGTAAGCCAAGGCAAGGCCGCGACCGTGGTCTTGTCTAGTCTGTCTTGTCTCTTTTGTTTCGACCTCTTTGTCTCTAGCTGGAACACCCCTGGTCAAGACCAATCTGGCCATCCTCAGAACCCTCCAAAACCTACAGAAACGGGGCTGCATATGCTGGATCATCAGGGTCCCGTGTGTATTACTGAGTGGCCCCCCGACGATCCTCCTATTCTCCCTCAACTCAACTCTGCTTGCCACTTCCCCCATCTTCCCCCTTCCAACCTCCCCTTTCTCTTGGGTACACATTTCTTGACCGCTATTATCTTTGAAAGGAACGGGATATCGTTCATGGCAGCTGCGCCTTTGATCCCTTACTCGTCTTCGTGAAGAGCGAGTGCTTCCACCTCGCCTCCACCCGCCCACCCCATTCATCATGCGTGTCGCCAGCGCCATCGCTGTGGCCTTGAGCCTCGCCGGCGCTGCCTCCGCCAACGTTCACCCTCGCGCCATCGAATCCCGCGAGTTTTTCGCCCTCCATCTCGACGATGATACCCCTCCCTCCCATATCGCAGACGCCCTCGGTGCACGTCATGAAGGCCAAATCGGCGAACTGGCCGGCCACCATACCTTCTCGCTCCCCAAAGAACAAAGCGACGATTTCAATGCCCTCCTAAACGGACTCCGATCGAAGCGAAACCTTCGGCGACGAGGAGAGCCTGTCATATCCGCCCGAAGTGCCGACCCTCTAGATGGTATTCTATGGTCGGAGCAGCTTGCCCGCCCCAGGCAACGACTACACAAGCGCATCCCACCTCCCATGCCCAAAATCGATCGTCGGTTTGCAGCAGAGAGTCAAATCAAACCTTCCGAAGCCCAAACCGAAATTATGCATACCCTGGGAATCACCGATCCAATCTTCAAGGATCAGTGGCACCTTTTCAATCCCCTTCAACCGGGTCATGATCTCAATGTCACAGGCCTGTGGCTCGAAGGCGTGACAGGCGAAGGTGTAGTGACGGCCGTCGTCGACGATGGGTTAGACATGTATAGCAACGACCTCAAGCCCAACTACTTCGCCGAGGGCTCATGGGATTACAACGCGGGTGGTCCGGAGCCACGCCCTGTTCTTTCCGACGACAAGCACGGCACCCGCTGCTCCGGAGAAATCGCTGCTGCGAAGAATGATGTGTGTGGAGTTGGCGTGGCATACGGCAGCAGGATTGCAGGCATTCGAATTCTGTCCGCTGCCATTTCGGATGAGGATGAAGCGGCATCCATCAATTACAAATACCAACAGAACGACATCTACTCCTGCTCTTGGGGTCCCATGGATGACGGCAAAACTATGGACGCCCCAGGAATGCTTATCAAACGAGCAATGGTCAATGGTGTGCAGAAGGGTCGGCATGGAAAAGGCTCGGTCTTTGTGTTTGCGGCCGGCAACGGTGCGACCTATGATGATAATTGCAACTTCGACGGGTACACCAACAGTATCTACAGCGTCACGGTCGGTGCCATCGACCGAAACGGAGACCACCCAACCTATTCCGAGTCATGCTCGGCTCAGCTGGTGGTAGCGTATAGCAGCGGAGGCAGCAGCGCAATCCACACAACTGACGTTGGTACCAACCAATGCTACTCCGGGCACGGTGGTACCTCTGCGGCTGGTCCACTCGCTGCAGGCTCTATCGCTCTTGCTCTCAGTGTTCGGCCCGAGCTCACTTGGCGTGATATCCAATATCTGATGGTAGAGACTGCTGTCCCAGTCCATGAGGATGACGGAAGTTGGCAGAAGTCTCCCTCCGGCCGCATCTTTAGCCACGATTGGGGCTTTGGAAAGGTCGATTCCTATTCCTTGGTTCAAAAGGCCCGCGACTGGGAACTAGTGAAGCCTCAGGCCTGGTACCACTCGCCTTGGCTGCGTGTTCACAATGACATCCCTCAGGGTTCCCAAGGATTAATCAGTCGGTACACAGTCACTGGCGATCAAATGAAAGGCGCCAACTTTGCCCGAGTCGAGCACGTGACGGTAACGATGAATGTCAACCACACTCGTCGCGGTGACCTAAGCGTGGAGCTGCGCAGCCCAAGTGGAATTGTCAGCCATCTCAGTGTTACCCGCAAATACGACGACGTAAATTCTGGATATGAGGACTGGACATTTATGACCGTTGCTCACTGGTATGTTTTCATCCTGGGTCTCTATTTCCCTTTGACTAAACGACTAACCTGGATAATAGGGGCGAGTCACCTGTGGGCGAATGGTCAGTCATCGTCAAGGATACCATTGTCAATGAGCACAGCGGTCAGTTCATCGACTGGAGACTCAATCTCTGGGGAGAGGCTATCGATGGAACCGATCAACCCCTTCACCCATTGCCCAATGACCATGACGATGACCACCCCTACGAGGAAGCCCATGTGGCGACAACCTCTGTTCAACCTGGGCCGACGAAGACCGCTACTCCCACAAATCCTGACGACCAGCATGACAGGCCTATCAACCAAAAGCCTTCCCAGTCAAGCGAGGCAAACCCTGCGGTAGAGTTGGATGCTACTGAGACTGATGCTGCCAGCACAACCGCAAGCGCGACGCCTACTTCCACTGCCGCCTCGGACAGCAAACTGGCCCACTTCTTGCCCTCATTCGGTGCTTCGAAGAGGACTCAAGTTTGGATTTATGCGTCTTTGGCCATGATTATTGTATTCTTCATTGGTTTGGGTGTCTACTTCCAACTCCAACGCGTTAAGCGTCGTCGCACCAGCGCTCAGGATGACTACGATTTTGAAATTATTGAGGATGAGGATGAGATGCATCCGATGACCGGTGGCACTGGTCGAACCCAGCGCCGCGGTGGTGAACTGTATAACGCATTTGCTGGCGAAAGCGACGAAGAGCTGTTTAGCGAAGATGATGACGATGAGCCTTATCGTGATGGGCTAACCAGGATCTCAGAGAAGGATGGTGAGGGCGAAGACGACTCGCCCGGCAGCCATCTCTTGTCGGAAAAGAAATAGTGTGATTTTTTTGTTGTCATGCATTTTCCTTGCATTGGGCTGGACTGTGTCATTTATGTTATATGGGGATATATTGAACTAGGGCAAGTCCGTGTTTTATGTTTGTGTTTGGGGATTAGATCGGATCGGCTGCCTGGCGTCCATGTACATCTTACCACGAAAGGAATGCAAAAAGCATTCTGTGCATAATGAAGAGAAGAATTAAAGGATCCCTTCCCACAATACATTTTTTCTTTCTTATTTCATATATATTCCGTGAATCAAACCTTAGATACTCAAAGTTTACACGATATGAGCTGTACCAAACACCTACATTGTATCTATGGTAGCCCACCCCTCCGATGACGACGGTGCCGCACTCGGGACTCCGCCTTGGGGTTCGACGATCACCAGCTTCCCAGCTCCTCCCGCCTCCACCTCCGCCCCCCATTTTGCGTTCCCCCATCACATCCGATCCTTGTAACCCTCAATACCTTGTTACTCGTGCTCTTTGACGTTGATCACCACAGCATTTCCGTCGGGCGACCACGGTTGACCGACCGCCCTTCCCCGCGATGGATCAACACGACGACTTCGACAGCGTCTCCTGGAAACATGATGCAGACAGCGATGCCTCTCGCCCGACAACCTCCGGAACAGACGCAGAAGCACCACCGACCTTTGATCATGACACCAATGGCAAGCGAAGGATGAGCTCAGCTCACGAAGAGCCCCAGGCTGGCGCGCTGGCCGACGCCGTGGACCTGGCTGGCATCGGAGACGGTGTACTCGAGTGCAGAGTTGATACACCTCTCAAAGAGAATGAAGGCACAAAAGATACATACATTTCGTACTTGGTTACAACGAGTGTGAGTACCAGACCTTCGTGGGGGTTACAAGAAACCTGCGATGTGCGAAGCGGCGCTGCTGCCTATGCACCTCGGGAGCCCCCGTCAATGTCGCATACAGTTCACTTCTAATATCATGGCTTTACAGACCGATTTCAAGTCATTCCAGAAATCCGAATTTAGCGTACGACGACGATTTACGGATTTCTATTTTCTGTATAAGACCCTCTACCGCGAATACCCAGCATGCGCCGTCCCCCCACTCCCAGACAAGCACAAGATGGAGTACGTCCGAGGAGACCGGTTCGGTCCGGAATTCACTACACGACGAGCTTGGTCGTTGCATCGATTTCTCAAACGCTTGACCCTGCACCCAGTACTTCGCCGAGCACCTCTTCTCATCATCTTCCTGGAATCGCCGGACTGGAATGCCCATGTAAGGCTGCATGGTAACCGCACCACCGTGAATGCCACCACGGACAATGCGAGTACGGGCATCTTTGATAATTTCACCGACAGCTTCGTCAACGCGTTCACTAAGGTTCACAAGCCGGATCAGCGCTTCATCGAGGTCAAGGAAAAGGCCGACAAGCTGGACGAAGATCTTTCGCATGTGGAAAAGACCGTGGCGCGGGTCGCACGGCGAGAGTCCGACCTGGAGACTGATTACACAGAGCTAGCGACGCAGTTCCGCAAACTCGTTCCTCTCGAGCCGGCGGTGGAGATGCCCTTGCAGGTGTTCGCGGCTTCCGTTGAAGAGACCGCTCGTGGGGTGCGTGGATTAAAGGACCACACCGATCAGAATTATTTGGGTTCGCTGCGCGATATGGATGCCTACATTCTCTCTGTCAAGGCCCTTCTCAAGACACGCGAACAAAAGCAGCTTGACTTTGAGGCTCTCGTCGATTACCGTAACAAGGCTGTGGCTGAACGCGACTCACTTGCCAGCAACCCAGCCGCCTACTATGCATCCAACCCTCTCACCTCCTCACCAGCCTCCTTCATTCGATCGAAAATGGAAGACATGCGCGGAGTTGACCACGAACAATCCCGTCGGGAGCGAGTTCGCAAGCTTGAGCTCCGCATTGATGAACTTACCCGCGAAGTAGAGTCGGCAAAGACGACTTCGGAGATGTTTGACGAAGAAGTCGTGCGTGAAGTGGCAGATTTCGAGCGCATAAAGGCCGTGGAATTCCGCGACTCCCTGGGCAGTTTCGCCGACTCGCATATCGAATTCTACCAAGGCGTCCTTTCAACCTGGGAACGATTTATTGCGGAGATGGAAGGTGATGCCGATTTCGACCTGGACGCCGATCCAGTATTAGGTGGGCGGTGACGCTGATTCATGGCAATTACTCTGAGATGGATTCGGTGTAGTTTTGTCCTATTTACTTGGCTAGCTTGTCATTGCATTTCATACCCGCAATGCCACCATTGCTTTTCTCTCGAGACGACACCACGGCTTTAATTGTACAACGTCTAAGCTTGGTGATTTCGTCGAATCTATTAGAATCGATAAACTCAAACTACTTTCGGGCTTCGTATACATCGTGTAGTATGGTTGGACCTCCAGCTGTAAATCTCGCGATACTAGCGCATCCTTAATTCATTGTGCCAGGTAACAACACCAGTGACCTTACTTCAAGTTCCACTGCTATAATGCTACTAGCAGTCTTATCTCTACAATTTGAGCTCATTAAATCATCGTCTGAATATGTATACACAGAGCTTTCCGGGCTCGATCTACATGCTCTATATCCATGTATACTTCTTTGGGGATGTTCTACTCACGTGATCAGTTGCTCGGCACATGGGCTGACTTCAACATCTTGATCATCCGATCTACTTCATGCCAAAGTCAAACACAATGCGTTCAATTTCCAGAGCCGCTCTGCGGCCATATGTTTGCCATTCATGTCGCAATGGAATCGGAGCCGGTCGACGTCGATTCGCCACCAATTCGAGCCAAACACCCGAGATCTACGACGTGGTCTGCGTTGGTGGTGGCCCGGCGGGCCTAGGACTTCTGGCCGCGCTTCGTACGTCATGCAACCCTTCAATGCGAGATCCCAATATCCGATGCTAATATTCCATTATTTCAGGAGCTTCCCCGGTAACCTCAAAGTTGAAAGTCGCCCTCGTCGAAAGCCAAGACCTCCGCAAGGCCCGCAGCTGGGACCTCGATTCAACCCAGTTCTCCAATCGAGTTAGCAGTTTGACACCCTCAACCGTTGAGTTTTTGCGCAAAATTAAAGCATGGGAACATCTCGATGTCGACCGAGTACAGGAGTACCAGGACATGCAAGTGTGGGATGGGGAGACAGGCTCGCGCATCTCGTTTGACTGGTCCACGGAAACATCACCATTTGAAGATATGCGCACAGTCGCTACTATGACGGAAAACGCCAATCTCGTACGCGGTCTATTGTCGCGCATTGAGGCTTCAGGCGACGAGAACCTTACTCTCTTTTCCAACACTACCGTTGCCTCAATTGAGAATGGATCCGATCTTCAAAGCGAAGGGCCCGACCTGTCCGCCTGGCCCATCATATCCGTTGCGCCCACTGCACCAGGCGCACAGGCACAGTCCCCAACTCGAATTGCTGCGAGACTGCTAGTTGGAGCCGATGGAATCAACAGCCCTGTCCGGTCATTCGCAGATATTAGTACACAAGGATGGGATTATAACCGACACGGCATCGTCGCAACTCTCGCCCTCGGCGATCCAGACAAGCCATCTTTCCCAGCCAACATGCGCACAGCCTACCAGCGCTTCCTGCCTGCTCTTGGTGGACCTATCGCTCTCCTTCCCCTGCCAAACAACCATGCTACCCTCGTCTGGTCAACGACTCCCGAGAACGCGGCCTACCTCAAATCCCTCTCAACCCCCGCTTTCCTGGCGATGGTCAACGCCGCCTTCCGCCTCTCCATGACCGACCTCACTTACATGATGGGCATGGAGCGATCCTCAGATCAATTCTCCCACGAAGACGAGCTCATCTGGCGTCTCCAGCACACCCCTAAACAATCACAAATCCCACCCTCCGCCACCGGCGTCCAAGAAGGAACTGTCGCCTCATTCCCCCTTCGTTTCCGCCACGCCTCGCAATATATCTCGCCTCGCGTTGCGCTGGTCGGAGACGCTGCACACGTCATCCACCCGCTCGCAGGCCAAGGTCTGAACCTCGGCATGGCAGACGTGGCTGCTCTTTCACGGACGATCGAGTATGCCGTTTCGCACGGTATGGATATCGGCGACCTTCTCACTCTTGAGCGTTACTCTTCTGAGCGATACCTGCCTAATGCTAAGATCGGCGGCGCTTGTGATTTGCTCCACAAGATGTATACTATTCCCGGCCAGGGACCTATCACCTGGGCGCGTAGCCTGGGCTTGGATGTGATTGATCGATTGCCTTTTGTCAAGTCTTTCTTGATGAAGAATGCTGAGGGTTACTAGGCTTCCTTCTGTTGTATTGCTATACTGTACATCTAGTTTCCTTGTTGTCAAAATGTAAGCGCGAATATGAATATTTCCAAGATTCCAAGGTTCTTCAGGTTTTAGATCTGTTTAGGCTTTGGGCCAGATAGCGGGTATTTCTAGTAGCACTATTTGCTCCAGGGCTAGATTCGGCTTCGTTATTTCAGATAGGCAAATGCAAATATTTCTGAATGCTCATTCATGTGGGTACTCGTTGAGATCAATATGCGCAGCCTAAAGACTTTTTGCCTTGAAACAAAAACACAACATATGCTTTATATAATCCGGCGTGTGGTTAGATAAACCGAGGCTTTGAATGCAGGAAATCAATGTACTAGTGAGTGGGTCTATATTTTAGTGAGAAGGGTAATGCTAGCAATGACCAAATTGTAAATGAACCGATAAAAGAGATAAAACGCCTCCTTCCGCGCTTTTAGTTGCTGATTCCGTTTCTTGATGATTTAAACCTGCGTGCCCTGGAGCTGTTGCGCCAGGCTGACGACAGAGCCGGACTGTTTCTTTTCGAGGCGGGCCTTGAGCTCGGGAATCAAAGAGGCCAGCTCAATGTCGACACCGTCCTTCTCAGGGTGGCCGTCGGGAAGCTTGAGACCCAGCTCCTTGATACGGACCTTGCCCTCGGCCAGTTCGCTCTCGCCCAGAATGAGGCCGAAGGGAACGCCACCATCCTCGGCAGCCTTGAATTGTTGCTGAAGCTTGGGCTTCAGCTTGTAGTTGAACTCAGCCTAGGGAAATGTTAGTATGTCGGTTCTAAATGGTACGAATGCAAACAGTGATTACCTTAATGTCGGCACTCCAAAGCTTCTGGCACATCTCCATACGCTCCTTGAGCATACCGTTGAAGCCCTTGCCGCCAATAGCCATGACGTAAACGTCAACTTCACTCCGACGGAGAGCTTGGGCAGCCTGCTCACGCTCGAGGCGCGCCTTAGTGATGGAGAAAATGCGGTCCACACCGAAGGAGATACCAACACAGGGAATCTGAGCCTTGGGCAAGAACATGCCCACAAGGTTATCATAACGACCACCAGCAGCGACACTACCAACACCAAGAGTGGGGTCATTGGATCGGTCATCGTCCTCAGAAGCCTTCTTCTTAGAGGGCTTTTGTGGCTTTTGGGCCTCCGCGGAATCAGCCTGCACAGCGGGGGCAGAACCCTCAGTGACGACCTCATAGATCACACCAGTATAATAATCCAAGCCACGTGCCAGAGACATGTCGAAAGAGATCTTATCAAGACAGTTAAAGGCCTCAAGGTAATCCATCATCAGAGCCATATCGGTCAGACCAGCCTTGGCAGACTCATTAGCATTGAGAGCCTCGTCTTGCAGCAGACGGTCCAGCAGCTCCCGACCACCCTTGTGCATGACATAGGTCTCAATACGGTCCGCAATGGCACCATCAAGGCCCTTATCATCAACCATCTCCTTGCGCACGTCCGCCCATGGCATCTTGTCCAGCTTATCAACCGCACTCGAGATCGGCCGAATCTTGTCCTCGGGGACACCACACACAGCGAAGACACCATCCAGAATCTTGCGGTGGTTGATCTTAATTGTGTATCGGCCATTCCATCCCAGCTCCTCAAACACTTCGCTCACAATGCGCAGCACCTCCGCATCCGGGACCATGGCGTCGAAAGTACCGGCGATATCGAAGTCGCACTGGTAGAACTCGCGCATGCGGCCCTTGCTGATGGCAGGTTGGTCACGGCGGTAGACCTTGGCGATGTGGTAGCGCTTGATGCTGCGGACATCAGGGTTCATGGCGAGCCATCTGGCGAACGGCACCGTGAGGTCGTAACGAAGTGAACAGATTTCGCCACCCTGGTCCTGGAGGTCGTAGATGAGCTTGGAGTCCTCACCATACTTTCCAGCCAGGATCTCGCGCAGTTCAAAGACGGGGGTATCGAGGGCAGTGCCGCCGTGACGCTTGAACACAGATGAAATTGTCGAAAAGATTTTGTCTCTCAGGATTGCATCGCTTCCCGCCCAATCCTTCGTCCCCTTGGGGGTTTTGAGGTTGAAAGAACTCTTATCCTTGCCCATTGTGTCGATCGAATCGGAGTGAGGGATTGACGAAAAGTAACGAGTGCGGCGGGGGTGGTTTTGATGGTGGGGGATGGTGGGGGCACGGGGATAAATTTGATTCGAGGTCGCATGCAGCAGCCCTTGGGCAGGCAAAGTGTAATGAGTCAGACGACAGCTGCCAGCGCCGAGATTGTTGGCAATTGCTCTTCGTGTCGAGCGCAGACTTCTAGCAAGGGACGGCATAAAAGGCGCACAATTCAGGGCGAGCGAGTCGACGTTGCACGATTTGTGATGAACGGGACTTCTTTCTGTTTGAGGTGTGTTTTTCCGAGGGTTTTTCCGTCACATCGCGATGCACTGTCCAGATAGCGATCTAAACGCATCCATTGTATAGATGACAGGGGGGATCATGAGATCTCACGGCTGATAATATTATGAAGCTTCAACTTCTTCGAAATCTCCAAGGTTCAAGGTTGTGTGTGATTTTCACTTCGGGATGACTTTAGATCATGTGCTACAGTCTAACAACACTACTATCACCTTCTCTTACACTCACTCCATCGCTGAAGGATTTGAAATTATTGATTTCTCGAATGCACCTAGGCGTAAATCTTTTGAAATGATGGCTTTTTACAGGTTCTGCAGCTTCACGCTGCAATGCCTTTGCCATCCTCAATGACACCGAACCAATCCAGAACCCAAGCTGGTGGAGCAGTCTCGCCCCATTTCATTTTCCCAAGAATATGAGATTCTGACTCCTCATGCCTAGGTGGGTGACATGCTGCGCTGATCACGGCACTGCAGGACCGAGTGACTGGAATCTCGGAGTCTAATCGCCGTATAGATAGTACCAGCAGTATACACACCATCAATGCCCCAATCAGAACAGAAACAAAAGTAGCCAAGGACGAATAAGCCAATGACCTAATTTCTCCGCTATCGAGACCCCCTGCTTGACCTTTGGGCCCATATGGAATGATGGAGACATAGTATATGTTCTTAGAAACCAACCAGTGAAGAGCGATGTTGAGTACGACAATAGGTGTGGCATATCGACACGGCATATTGAGAAAGTATGTTGAGAGTTGTTCACTGCTTTTCACTGGGGTTGACACGCGTAGTGGTTTCTGGGTGGCTCCATAGGAGCTGTATTCCGCCCCAGTTAACATGTTTGTCAAAAGGCCATTGTAGAAGTAGTACGCAATTGTGATCGCTAACTAGGGCATATTAGCTATAATCACCGAACTCAAAACGGATGTTCTGAGGCTCTCTTGGTAAATTAACATTTTTCACCCAGTTGTTATCTCTGTATTCCACCACTCATGCAACAATTGTGTCATAAGCTGGAGGCTTGGTTTGACGTCGGGATTGTCATAATGATATGGCCTAGCCATTTCAAGCTCCAGAAACCAAGAGCCACAGACAATACAAGCAAGGCATCTGGACAAAATTAGACGAGATCTCGTTTTAGGTATTATCAATCGCGGAAATTTACTTACAGACTCAAGGTTACCAGCCATTGTATCAAGCTCGGAACTTGCATCCATCTTTTCCGTTTCTGTAATTGACCAAAAGTGACGATTTTATGATTGAGTTGCATCTCTGGAAAGTCGACATGTTTATTTGAGTCTTGCAGCCAATCTGGGGCTTTGGGCATTTTAGGTATTTCTAGTAGCCGGTTTTGGATACATCTGGGCTAAAATGGCTACCAACCACGGAGGTAATATATGCTAGTACTCATACTTCGGCCTGGTCCGAGCCTTGGCTGCATTGTTTCAGCCTCATCTCCTGGACACTGCGCTGTGCCCTGTATATGCACACGCAGGCACCATTAATGGGCAAACATGCCGGTGGAATGATATTTTTTCAATGCCAGGGTTGTTACACAAGCAAGGTGGAAGACCCTTGGCCAAACCTGCCATGCTTTATGTATGCCAACACAACACCACCCCTGTCATTACAATTGCACTTTTTAGGATGACGCTGCGCCCGGCACAAAGCAAAAGCACGATATGAATTGCAATGTAAATGGCTTGAACTAGCAAGGCCAGTATGGAGCCCTGGGAGATGACTACAGCTCTGTACTACCTAGATATATATAGATCTAGTACTAATAGTAAGCGGGGCGGTTTGCCCAGGTGGGTAATACCAGTAGTACCTAGGGAGTTCAACCTGAAATTCAAAACAGGGCGGAGTTCTCCAAGTTTGCCTTTTCCACTGCCTATGCCGCGATTCTACTAGACACTGTTCATGAGAACTTGAAGTGTTGGAGCCTGAGGCCGCACATAGCAGCAGCTGGGTGCCAGCCCACCCACCCGCTCTCGCTAGAAAACTTTCTTCCTGTATACCACTTCGCTCCATGCTTCCTCTCCGAATCTTTCCTCGACAACTCGACCCAAAGAACTTGGAACTAGGAAAAAAATGATTGAGACCAGTACTCCTCTAGTCATAGGGCAATTGCCTCCATGGACTAGTTCTAGTGCTTTCAGTCTAGCTTCTTTGGGACCCCTATCGCTCCGTAAATTTGATATTTTGCGCTCCATCCTCTTCTTGCCATATCCACACTTCTTTATTGCACTCATCATATCCCTCTATTTCTACATATCTCTCATTGCAATTCCAAGAATATATAGACATTCTGAGCGTTTGTGCACCTTGTGATCTATTTTGCGTCCAACCAAGATGCCAAAGGCCGTGTTTGACCCTCAGTTATCGGCCCAGCTTCACAACCAAATTTTTGAATATGCATGGATTGGTGCTGGACGGGATATCGCTTCTCTTCCGTCCAAGACCTGGTGGGAAGAGGAGTCCCCAATTCCATTCGATCTTGCATCTCGCCTAAAGCCGAGCCTGATCAGGTTCCTGCGGTCTGCAAGAGCAACCAATTGGGACACTGTTTCAGATTTCCATCTTTTTTATTACCTCATGGCGATTCATGGGAAACATGGCATTTTCAACCCAGACACTTTTCCTGCATCGGGTGGTGATCGTTATGTGTGGTTGTATCCCTCCACAAAAACGAAGAGTGATGAGGAAGTCGGCATACTGTGAGATTCCTATTAAACTTCACTATCATTAAATAGAGCGAAGAACTCACAAGTCAAATAGATTCGATCAAGAAACCGAACTCGCATCCTTTGTTCCGGACTGGGAAGATCTGATCTGGTCAGCTAGGGTACAGTGGCCATGGCTGCCATTACAACATATTCTGCAAGCGTATCTAGACATGATCAACGAGGGCAAAATAACAACATACTCAGACCGTCGAAAAGAATTGAGAGGTGCCAATGGTGGTAAGTTCGGGCGTGGAGTATTTCCTTGGGAGATCCACCAACATACCCCAATGGATGTTAAGAGGGCTGTCAGTGCTTTTACCCGTCTTCTTGATGCGATTGAGCTTCGGCTTCCTCCAAGTTCGACACATGACCATGGCCGACAAGATCCAGACCTCGAAGGAATAGCTCTTCCATACTCCGAATCAGTCATGGAAGCGTCGTTCATAGAAGTGGATTCATTTGCCAGGTGCTTTCTATCAGCGCTTCCCAATAGACAACTCAATTTTCGCTATATTGCCCCCGGCATCCGACTCCAAGATCCGGCCGAATTGATAAACCAGCCACTTGCTGATCGCCGCTTCAACCAACTGATCCCAGATCTGTTTAGTACTGCTCAGCCGGAAGCCCTTTTCCCTCTACTCCTTTTCCGTGGGGACGGAGAGAATAAATCACCCTGGACCCGGCCCTGGTTTCCCGACGGAAATGCTGAGAACATCCCCTCTGGTTTATACCTTGAACCCACCGACAAAGATTTCAATTGGGAGTCTGGCAACCAAAGTCGACTTCTCTTGCCGTTTAGCATCGGCAGCAACGGGTTTGCTCGAAGTAGCAATGGCGTTCCATTCAACCCTGGAGCTAGATTTCTGGGAGGCAACGAGCCTGATCAACTATACCAGACGGACTTATTCAGTGGATATAGTGGCTATTTACCTTGGGATTCACGTAGCTCATATCTACACAGAGTGCTGGAGAATTGGGCGGAACGAGTGGAAATGGGCGATTGGCTAGTGGGTGAAGACGGTGTTGTCGGTGGCATTGAAAAGTTCAATGAGGCCGACACTAAAGAGCATTGGAGGGATTATGTTATACCTTGGTGAGACCTTTGGACCTCTAGGTCTTCTCATAGAATGTCACTTGAAATTGAATTAATTCCCGAAGCTGGTAGAACCCAATATCACCATTGTAGATTCAATATGTACTACATAATGATGGAGAGACGAACAATTGTTTCTAGCAAATCAAATCAAATGATGAATATTCTATTTCCCGTGGCCTCTAATAAGCCCCGGGAGGCTGGACTCCATGAGTTCGGTCGTAGTAGAGACACTTGGATATATACTGAAGTTGACTAGGTACTGTACTAGTATTATTTGACCAAACTTGCGACAATCAGCCAAAAGTATCGATTCCGCTGTCGAGATGTCAATTATAGGGCAGGAGCGAGGTTACGAGGGTAATCAAACTCCTTTTTGCAAAGTACTTCCCGGTAGTTAGTTCCCACTGCCAACTACTCCCAAAGGACCCTTTGGTGGTGCCGGCTATGTGGCCATCTCTTGGCTATGCAGCCGAGGCGGCGAGGGACGGGTGGGGGATAATGTCGTTTTTTCCCTTGTCATATTACTTGGAATTGTTTAATTGGTCGGTTTCTTCTTCTTTATTGATTTCAACAGTAATATTTGGAAGGTAAATGATCAAGAAGCCCAAGCGGAGCACCTGGGCGACCGGGGAGCTTCTGCGCCAGTCTATTGCACAACAACGAAACATAAGCATGAGACTTGAAACATAGCAGACAAGCTCTTGGACAGCTGGGGAGGAAGGGAGCTTGACCAGCCACTCAAGTATAGGCCCAGTGAAGCCACAACCCTGCTGATCATGGCTTGTTCTGTCCAGGTTGATAGGCTAAGAAAAGGCACCCCACCCCCGAGCACTCATCGGCTAGTATCTGAGAGTCAAACACCTAAAGCCAGCGTCGTGGCTTACGAGAGCACTGGCCGCCGAGATGAAATATATTGAAGTTCGATCAATTAGGGTGGCAAATTATTTGCGGGTGAGAAGCCGGCCACTTGAAAGGCATCGAGCATGATAATCGCTCACCTCCAAGAAAGCAAATGGGAATTAGGCCGGAGGCCAACAAGACGAGAGTAGCTTATGGAAACTTAACCCGACCAAAATATGCTTACCGGAGTGGCTGCAGCCGAGTTGCGGTCATGGATCAACCCCAATTCATGAATCGGGTCTAACAAGCGAGCATAGCTAGTCCCGAGGTGTCCGCGATGATTATTGAATCAGTTCTCTGTACTCCGTACGAGTAGAGTATTCCGTAGCGCTCCGCTCCGATATCATATAAGTGGAGCCTAGTCGTGATTGCAAGCTGCCCAAAGGGGGGAAGGGGCACGGTGTAGAGATGGGGGTCTATGACGGGTGATTTCTACCTAGAAAACCGTACCCACTATGATGTATGCATGCCCTTCAAGTTCGAGACTGCTTGATACTGTACATAGAGTGGTATCCGTATATGCACCATTTAGCCTTGGTCGCCACTCTGTGACTCCCTTTGTCTCCAGTCTCCAATTAACAGAGGCTTGAATTCTTCGCCCCCAAATGGGGGCGCTTGAAAATGGTGTGGTATTTGGGAGAGATCCCTGCGGATGGTCCCATGGAGTGGCGGAGGTTAAGGACCTGCCCAGTCGGTAGTCAATCAGTGTAGGTCGATAGAGACTGGGCATGCAGGACTAGGCTCCGGCGGTGGGTTAGTGTGCGCCCGCCTGCGTCAATGTCAATAATAGGCTCCTTGCGGGACCGCGCTACTGTGGCATTTCCGGGGGGGGTTGTTGCTCGGAAAGTCGCCGGTGACAAGGACACGGGCCGCGCGGTCATCAGGACAACCTCGTATGTGTGGTTGATCCCACGACTTCCTTGCATATATCGATGATCAGATCTCTACCCCAGGATGCAGTCAAGCACAGCAGTGACAAGGATACCTGCGTAGGTACGGAAGTAGATGGTGCGTAACCCGGGGCCAGGACCACCGAGACTGGAGAGGGGAATCTGACTCCACCGCCACCAGCGAGGAATTCCCCACGCTGGGGATGATCATTGGGCGTTGTGGAACGCCATGCGAGGGGCGGACACATGGCCCGTGAGCGTAGGGCGGGATGGGCCAATGGCCGGACAACGGTTGTGGGTTTGTAGAGTTCATGGCCTCCACTGTTAGCGCTGGAGATGCTGGATGTCCCGGGTGAAATGAGGAGGAAGTTCCATGGTCTTCGTGGGGGGGCTCCGCTGGGGAGGAGAAGAAGGAAAGCCAATGGAACCAATAGAACCAATAGAACCAATGGAAGCAATGGAAATGGCTGGACTCTCCGCAGTGCAGGCTTTGTTGGGGCAGAACAACCGGTCAGTCCTTCTCCGATATAGCCGGTGCACACACACACAGTGACACACAGACTTTCAGTCTTGACTCTAGGCGTGTGGTTGGAATCGCGCGGATCAAGAAATTCGGCGATTGGACCAGTACCTGCCTTAGGACTCCACGTGGCTTTTGAGAAGTGCGGAGGGCTCACTGTTTTCTGGATGATTCCGCTGCAGTCTGCGTGAAATAGGTGAAGGTAGTCCAGGCATCCAATGTGAGTACAGTACTCCGTAATGATAATGTGATGGGGCTGGTGTAGAGCAGAGAGTAGTTGAACAAGATAAGTCGGGGCGATTCCCGAGTCTCCCATCCCACGGTATTCCTAAGGTTAGCATCAACCAAGACTGGCAATTTCCCGCCCTGCGCCACATCCCTTCCCTTTGCCTTCAAGTTGACTGCGCTTGCGGTTCCTGCGTTTCAAGTTGTAACTCCAGTCACTCCAGTCTCCAGTCACCTAAGTCTGGCCCTTCTCTCTACCCTTCCGTGCATTTCCCCGGACGCTCTCCGCCAAACGTTCCTGGCCTCATTCTGCCCCGACCTTTCACTCAGTCAGCCTCGACACGGCCCCTCTTCCCCAATCTCCCCTCCCTTCCCTTCTCTCTCTCCCTCTCTCTCCCTCTTTACTGTCTCTCATCTCCCCGTCTATGTGTGCCCTTTCCTGCGATCGGTAATTTTGTCTGCTCCATGCAGTGGGCTACAACAAACGAGCCTATTCGACCATTATGAAGCTCTTCCGGCCCAAGGCCAATGGGGTAAGTTCGCCCTTCCCGACGAGCATCATCCCTCTTGTGCGGTGGTACAGCAGACCATGTGCCCTCACTCCTCCCCCAAGCTGCACTCGTCGGACCCTTCTAGACGCGAATGCCCGAATTGACCGTCCATTTGAATAGGCCGCCACCTCAACGCCTGCCCCGGCCCCCGTCAAGAAGGACCCCCAGACTCCGCAGATGTCCCCGCTTGAAAAGAGGCTCCAAGATTTAGGTCCGATTCGTGGCGATGGCAGCGACAAGTTCTTTGGCATGGAAAACGTGAGAGATTTCCCCTTCAGTGCATTCCCCGGAAGTTTGGATAAGGCTTGGAATACCAATCTAACACTCATTCGCCTCCCAGTACGGAAATACGTGTTACTGCAATTCGATCCTCCAATGTCTCTACTACTCCGTCCCCTTCCGCGAAGCCGTCATAAATTATCCACAACGCACTCCCTTGGAAAGTCTCGAGGCCGCCCTCGCTCAGAACTTGCGATTTCAGAACCCCAACGCACATCTAGAGGCCGAGGCCCTGGCAGCGAAACAAAAGGCCGCTGCTCCGGCGCCATCATCGCGTGGTGCGGGAGTTCCTTCCAACCAGCCGCAGAAACCGGAGGATAAGGATTCACCGGAATATAAGAAGAAGGTTGCTCTACAGACGATGCCGATCCTCGAGACCAAGAACAACGCCCCCAGCTATGGCATGTCGGAGTCTTTATTCACCTCGCTCAAGGATATCTTTGAGTCGCTGGTGGCAAGTCAATCACGAATCGGAATCATTCGCCCCCAACAATTTCTAGACGTACTACGACGTGAAAACGAAATGTTTCGGACGCCTATGCACCAGGATGCGCACGAGTTTCTAAATCTCTTGCTGAACGAGGTGGTGTCCAATGTGGAGGCGGAGGCCACCAAGCAGAGTTTCGCGGAGAAATCACTTCCACCATCCGAGAGTGCAGATTCGCTAGGCATGTTGACGACCAGTACCGGCTCGAAATCTCCGAATACAACAAGATGGGTGCATGAACTTTTTGAAGGAACCTTGACGTCAGAGACCAAGTGTCTGACCTGCGAGAAGGTCTCGCAGCGCGATGAGGTGTTTTTAGATCTCTCGGTCGATTTAGAGCAGCACTCATCGGTAACATCCTGCCTTCGGAAGTTTTCCGCTGAGGAGATGCTCTGCGAGCGTAATAAGTTCCACTGCGATAACTGCGGCGGTCTCCAGGAAGCCGAAAAGCGAATGAAGATCAAGCGCCTACCCCGGGTGCTGGCACTGCATCTGAAGCGTTTTAAGTATACAGAAGATCTGCAACGACTACAAAAGTTGTTCCACCGCGTTGTCTACCCCTACCATCTCCGACTGTTCAACACTACCGACGATGCGGAAGACCCCGATCGCCTCTATGAGCTCTACGCGGTAGTCGTTCACATTGGCGGCGGACCTTATCACGGCCACTACGTTGCAATAATCAAAACGGAAGACCGGGGGTGGTTGCTTTTTGATGATGAACTCGTGGAACCGGTGGATAAGAACTACGTACGGAACTTCTTTGGTGATCGACCTGGCCTTGCATGCGCCTATGTTCTCTTCTATCAGGAGACGACTCTTGAGGCCGTTCTTCGGGAACAAGCTCAGGAAGACCAGGCAAATGCGGCTACTGATTCGGGAGAGTCAACTAAGACCAACGGATACCCCTTGTCACCTAACCTAGTCCACGTCAACAGCGCATCTCAGGTGCCTTCTGATGATCAAAACCGACTTCCTCCTATCCAGAAAACGTCAACAGCACCCCAAATGATGCCCACTCACCACGAAGGTCCTGAGTTAGAACCCGCGCCAGCCCCAGCAGTTCAGCCGCCTCTACCCCCCATTCCTGACGAGCAGCCGCCTCCCCTGAGCCCAAAGAAGAGTGATGTTGCCGCCAAGAAGGAAAAGGCACGTCTCAAGGCGGAGGAGAAAGAGAGGGAGAAGGCCGAAAAGATTCGCCGCAAAGAGGCCGATCACCAACGCCAACTAGAGGCCCAGCGCGAAGCTGAGGAATTCCGAATGGCTATCGAAAGAAGCAAAGCCGACGCGAATGATGTTGGAGCCGAGAATGGCTCCCCTAAGAAATCGTTCGGCTTTTTAAGGCGCGGGAGCCGGAATCTCAGTCAACGACTGAGCAAGGATAAAGAGCCCAGGTTGTCGACCTCAGATCTGGCAGCCACTCCATTACATGAAACGCCCAGTAGCACTAACGCGAGCACTACCACTACTACCACCACCACTTCTGCCGCTCCCACTCCCGCTCCCACTCCCGCTCCCACTTCCACTCCTGTTACCGCTCCTGTTGTTGGCTCTCCTCCTACCACCACCAAAACCGAGCCTGAACGGCCGGCCGTGCCAACCAAGGATACAAACAACGTCCACAATCCCAAAATGTCTTCCCGAACAGGCCCACCGCCGGCGAAAGACAACAAGACCGAGAAAACCGGTCATACTCACCGTTGGAGATCACTCAGCTTCAAACGAACGACATGAGCTCCAACTCTGTACTACAGTCGACATTCTGTTTTATTGCATGACGGCATTTAGTCGAGCTTTCGGAGATACCCCTAACTATCATGCACATATGAGCGCAAATTGCTTCTTGCACATAGCTTTTCGTGGATGTATCATTACATTTCTTACTATCTGCGCCATCGCCCTTCTGTCCTATTCTTCCGTGGTCTGCCCCTTTACGAGGCAGATCCTCGGCTATGTCTTCTTCGACTATATTGATTGAATCTTCAATTGTGGCTGATTTAAGTGCCTACGACTACTTTCTATTTATTTTTATCGCTGTTGATTTTTGTATTATGTTGGACGACATGATACCTTCTCCAACGGGTCTGTTCTATCCGGCGTGAAAACTGGCGTTCTATCTATTTCGGATTTTGCAAATGCTGGCAAGCATGGGTATTGGGATCTATTTGGCGTTTTCCTATTTGCTTTCGACTCTTGAACCTTGAGCGATTTCCTTTTCCTTTTTTGCGTTGATGCATGTCCTTCCTGGCCAACTTCTTTCAGGTACCTACCTCTTGCATTGTGAATGTGGCCAATACTAGCTTATTATATTTGCAAATTTTAAATTACTCAACTTGTCCCAGCTAGTAATCGAGGGTATCTCCATCGGCCAGGGGATCTTATTTACCACCCCCAGGCTCTTGCTATCTACGCAGATGTTGGTTCAGTCCAGGCGTTCTAAATTGAGATATGGACCTGCTCTTGGAGCTTCCCATGAATATTACGTTTGTGAACGACACTGAGTAGCAATCGAATTCATCTACTACCTGCGCTACCTAGAAGCAAAGGCTAATAAGGATCTACGCGAATCCAGAGCGTGGATTTCGAGTCAATAACAGCATATCAGTATCTCAGGACGTAGAGCTATTTCTGAGGATTCGCTGCCACCAAGATGTTTATTTGAGGATTTCCCGTAGCTTTAATGGAAGAAAAAAGCAATTCACCAGCATTTCAAAGTAAATTGATTCCTCCTGTGCAAGCCTGTCCTTGAAATCGTCCTTGCGGTTCTTTTTTTTCCTTCTCCGGAAGCTCAAACCCTCTGGTAGCGATGCAGCACCAGCATTCGGCAGTGCAATGGCCATGTCCTTTACTTCTTATGGACAAATCTCTCTTCCCACAGCATCCACATCCCCGACTACAGCATCCTCCTTGGTCTGAACAATCCCGAACCAATTCTTCACGCATATACCACCTCGGGTCCTGCTTCAAACTACGGTGGCTTTCTTTGAAGGGGCACGGATACATAGACTCATTCTTATAAATCGCATACTCTTTGGCTGTGAATTCGGCTTGAATCTTCTGGAGCTCCTGGTTGACATAGTCAAGCCGGTCGCGATTGTCGTCGATGAGAGAAGCCTTTTCCAGAGCTTTGGCCTTGTGTTGCAGCGCTTCCTCGCGCTGAGTGAGTCCACGCAGAGCATACTCGGCAAGAAAGAAGGGTACGAATCCCGAATGGCTAAGCCGAAATTTTGGACATTTCAGTACGTTTACATCATTCGAATCGTAATTGAAGCAATTAGTACTATCGAAAGAACCCATCTCTCCTTCTGAGCGGATCCTGGCGTTCAAAGTTTCTGGCGTGGGAGACTGCGGTAAATCTGGCGGTTGAGTGAAAGATCCGAAATAGGATATTACGAGAAATCTTATCAGGCAGGAGAAGTAATGTGATATCAGTTTCATAGACTATGCAATTAGGTCTAGTACGGCTGAGACATCGACCGCGGCCCAAAACTGTCTCCCGTCAGTACTAGTACTAGTTAATTCTAATAGAATTTACGAGAACCTGTCGGGCTAAGAGTGACCCAAAATGATTTAGTCAACTGCTTTAGATTAAACATAGCCGCATTGGTACTTATGCTCGCTTCAGCATATTTCACTCACTTCAATACAATTGAAGTAGTCATTCTTGGTACGACGTGGTGAACCAGGTAGGAGTCTAGTACGGTCAACAGAACACGAGTCAAAAGAGTGGAGTCATTTTATATTTTCGAACACTATCTTTATACCTCCAAAATGCCATGCCTTTATGAACACATCACCAACCCGCATACCCACTAGCAGTTCATCCTAAGACAAGATTGTATAGTTGGATGACAGCAAACGACAGTTCTTGGCAATATCAATAGAAGGACCGGTTTCACCTTCGCTGAGACTGGCGCTGTAGTTGTATGTCGGACTCAACATTTGAATTTGGCCCACAGTCGAGCCGTACATGTCTGCAAGATCCTTGTAGACACCCTTGGAGAAAGTATAAGGCTCGATATCGCATGTGCTAGGATAGCACAAAGGGACCTTGACAAATTGACCAGCAGCAATGGTCTCATTTGCTCCGTACTGACTTCCAGATTGAATGGAGTCGAGGGTCATGTTTAGACGTCCGGCAATCTTCCACAAGGTATCTCCGTTCACAGTGTAGTATAGACGGGGTCCACCCCTCACACAATCATTGGTTCCTGGCCCATCAATGATGCAGGAAGTCCAATCGGGATGACAAACTTGACCAGGGATGTTGATAGTCTGTCCAAGGTTGGGAACAATGGACACGTCGGCCACTGTCGCGATTAAAGACAGTAAGCCACTTGCTTTTCTTTAAGTTTCCCGATCTGATCGATATGTGCAGAACTTACTCAGATTGGCACGACCAATATCACATACGCCCCTGTTGAACTTTACAGCCATTTCGTAGACGGTCTGATTGGCCACGTCGGTGACATAGTTGAAGCTAGTGGTGTTGAGAGATTTGTGGTTGCAGTGGGATCGAACTTCATTTGCAGACGCAGAATAAGCACCCAGAAGGGCGTTGAAGATGGTAGTAGTCAGGCGCATGACTTCGTATAAAGCGGATGATCAACGAACGTCTAGTGAAGAAAACTTAATGTAGACATGATAGCTTCTGATACATGCGAAAACACAATTTAAATACGCTCAGACTGGCCGATCTGCAGAATCCTCCTTATAGTCAATCTAACCTTCCCGTTCTTCTTCCCCAGTGCATCGAGGTCTTTCAGGTTGGGATCGTCAGGACCATTCGCGGCTTCCCAGTTTCACAGACGGAGAATAGATTGCGACATGCATGGGGTGCGTGTGCAACGAGCCAATTTGAACACTCGGAGATAATAATGCGCAACAGAAAAGGCCTGTTTAGCCTAGTAGATTGATAACTCGTACATTGGCTACGTCGGAACTCCACATGTTTCCACTATTCTGTTGGTGATGACTCGATTGTTAATTGGTTGATCCGAATTTCCAGTGGTTGATCTTTCCTCTTCCATATTTTAGTTCAGCTCCTCCCATGCAGGTACGGAATAGTACTGTACTCGTACGCCCGCTGTTACAACCGATCAATTTTTCGGTCGGACTTACTGCTTCGGGAATCACAGAAGTCCTTGGTCCACTTCTTCGTTCCCCATAGTGCTAAAACAAACCCATTACTCTTCTGCAATTACTCATGCTGTTTAATCTCGTCTAAGTAGGCGTGTAAAGACAATATGTCAGATGTCAACTTGTGACCCAGCATAACTCAAGGCTCGACGAAAAGGTGATATTTGATCCTGGGATGGAAAAGGACAGGCGATTATAGCCCACATGGGCCAAAGCAAAGCATTGCTGTTTGTGAGTTTAGCAGTTGGAATCAGACGGAAAATATCATCTGCATCCAGGAATCCGATGAAGGAGATAGCATAGCAACTGTTTTGAGAAGGCGGGCTATTTGTTCCCGTTAAAGACTGGAGCCTTAACATATTTGAACTTGTAGCTAACTTATTTGTTGCAGTGGCTTGGCTGTTCAGGCACGAAAGTTGTCAGGGGTCAAGACAAAGCAAAAGCATCATGAGTAAGTACTAACAATTTGAAGGATTGTCCAACCTATTAAAGACCGAGCACATTTCCCCATTGCCCGTTCTTTGTTGCGCAGCTGTAGCATATGGGAGATGGCGGACATGTGAGGGCCAGGTAAGCCACCACCTTCGTGAGAGAGATGAGCATCAGTGACAGACTAAGAGAAACCATCCGACAAGCTTACATGAAACATGCTCAACAAAGAAAGGCCGCAAGAACCTCATCCTCCACATTCTCATGCGAGAAAAGGCCTTTATTCACATGCTTCAGGGACAGGCCATGGCTTTTGCGAGTCTTCATGTAAATAAAGTTCTGGGTTCTTAGTTTCATTAGATAGTGTGAGGTAGGAGACACTCATAAGTGCATGTTTTGAGCACAGGTTATCGCCCTTCTCCTCGAGAAGGTCTCAGGTCTGAAATAAAAGCCAAATGACCTTTACAAGGTGACTAGTGAACCTTGAAGACGATACGGTGCATGGAATTACAAGTCAATAGGTATAGAATTCCAGTTGCTGACGCTCACGTGATCTTTATTCTAAGTGGAAGCTAGTAAGAAGCTGCTTATATTCAATCTCGACAAGTTGTCTTCATGCATACCAGTACTATAGCTGAGGAGAAATTCGTGGTGTAGGTTCTGAGGCATGGGGGTGACATTCGGTTATTACTGATTGTACTATTGTTTCTTTCTTTTCGACAGGAGATGAACGGGTATATACAACGGACTTGATGGCCTGGGGAAGAATATCAAAAGTAGGAGCCACATACGGGCAACAGCAATTCCAGCCCATAGATTTGTGTGGGCGGTCCAGCTAGCAAACTCCAACAAATGGATTATTTGAGACTCATCACCCGCCTGATCAATTCCACCGTCCCCGCACCATCTTTTATGGTTATTCGTGAAGGTCGTGCCACCGTAGAAGGTGGCTGGGAGGATTTAGAGGTCATATTGAATGGCCTGATTTCGCTGAATTAGACTTGAGATGTATGGCGATGCGAAATGTAGTGGGTTCGGAGGATGCGGTGCGCACCATGAACGCGTTCTCTGGTTCGGTTGAATTGGCGCGGGAGGGGTGCGGAGGGGTTGAGTATCAGCCGAGAATGAGCTCGTAGACAATGATGAGTATGTTGATTCCGAGAAGAGGTACTGCCAAATAGTTGCGAGTTAGCCGGGGTGTCGAAGCTTGCGGCCTTGCTGCCTGCACATGGTAGAGGGCACCCTATGCCCCTCGACGGAGAAGACTGCTCCTGGGGAGCACGAGAAGCAAGAATCCGAGAACAGGGAGGATAAACGTACTCCGCATTAGTGTCCGCACACTGTCAATCAGCTTGACCAACCTCGCCTTCACGCTGGTGCTATCGTGGGATGCGCCGAAGGCCGGCTCAGTTTGCGTGCGACCCCATCCGACTATGTGAGTTATTCGACGGTTAGAAACTGTGTACAAAGAATCGCGGTGATGGGAGGATACGCCATTGGGCGTAGTGAGAGCGACGTACTGCGAGCAAGGAATCGATCCTCGGAAAGGACAGCGATGGCGTTGATTATGAGGACAGTGACTGACAAAGGAATTAGCGGGGACCAGATATGCATTCATTGTGCTACTCACCATAGATAAGCTTCCCAAAGCCAAAGAAGAACATGGTGGCGCAGTGAGGGGAGGAGGGATGGTGGGAGGGCCAGCTGAGTGAGAGAAAGAGACGCCGAGAGAGAGAGAGATAAGGCGAGGTGCGGGAAGCGCCAGATCTCCGGATCAACAACCACCGCCGATGCAGTCACCATGAGGAATGGCAAGTCTGCGCGTCTGCGCGCCGCCATGCACCAATTCCCTTCAAGGGCTAACTCGATTCTAGTCTTTTATTTGGTTGGGCTCCTTGTCCCCGTTTTGATTCTGTTTCACCTTCTCGTTGCACCGTACACCAAAGTCGAGGAGTCGTTCCATGTGCAGGCCATACACGACATCTCGAATCATGGACTGCCGGGCTTCACGCCGAAATTCGACCTGAAATATGACCACTTCGCTTTTCCTGGGGCTGTGCCCCGATCTTCTTGTAGGAGCATTGATTCTTGCGAAGCTCTCGCAACCCTTCGCAGCCTTGAGCAAAGGCATCGATCGCCAGATCCTTGGTAAGCGCACTATAAGCCCCACGGCCCTATATTAAGCTAATACACTCCACAGCCCGAGCTATTCTGGGTATTTACAACGCTGGATCGTTGATTTACTTCGCCCATGGCCTTCGACGTGGTTTCGGCCAGACCGTGGCAATCTGGTACCTCGTCTTCCAAGCTAGCCAGTTCCATGTCATCTACTACGCGTCACGACCGCTATCGAACATGTTTGCATTCGGCATGACAACGATAGCCTCTCGTCTCCTTCTGCCAGACTATACGATACCACGAGTGGATGCCCGCCGCCGGGCCCGCCTGTCGTTGATCCTCGTCGCTATCGCAGGCATAGTCTTCCGCTCGGAGCTAGCGCTACTTGTTGCGACGCAGACCATTTTCCTGCTTGCAATGGACCGAATTCGATTCATGGAGGATGCTGTGCTTGCAGGTGTGATCAGTTTGTTCGTGGGGCTACAGCTCACCCTGGGCATAGACTCTATTTTCTGGAACCGCGTCCCTCTCTGGCCAGAACTAGACGCATTCCTCTTCAATGTGATCTCAGGCCAGTCCTCAGAATGGGGGACATCGCCGTGGTACTTTTACTTCTTCAACGCGCTGCCGCGTCTTCTCCTCAATCCGTTGACCTACCTTCTCGCTATCCCGGTTGCCCTACGCCAGCCTGCCACCCGACAACCGTCCATCTCGCTGCTTACTCCAACATTAGCCTTCGTCGCGTTGTACAGTATTCAGCCGCATAAGGAGTGGCGATTCATTATCTACATCATTCCGTCCCTTACTGCAGTCGCTGCCTTGGGTGCGTCTTATCTTTGGAACCGCCGGTCTCGTTCTCTCTTCGCCAGCCTCTCATCTCGCCTTCTGGTACTCTCATCCCTAGCCGCCTTCTTGCTATCGAATTTCGTTCTTCTGCCCGCCTCGGCAGCCAACTACCCTGGTGCACACGCACTGAATGCTCTCCATCATCACCATGCCCTGTCCGTGTCCGACGAACTTGATGGGGCCTCGGTCTACCTTGGAAACCTTGCCTGCCAAACTGGCGTTACTAGATTCCTTCAACAGTCCCCTGGACTGGGATGGCACTACGACAAGACGGAAGACAAGGCTTTGAAATCCTCCCACGCTTTTTGGAATCAGTTCGACTACGTTATTGTTGAAGCTTCTTCCGATGCAGAGTACAAAGATAATGACGAGACACGGTTGCGGAGAGTTCTCCAGGAATCAGAATGGGAGACGACTGATGTCATTGATGGATTTGCGGGGATTTCCATAGTGAAGCCTGGTTCTCCAGCGAATGGTGCTGTTGAGCGGCGCCTTTTGTCGAAGCTGGGTGGTGAGAGTGCGGCGGGCTTGTATGACCAAGCTCGTGACTCGGTACGAAAAGTGTTCTTGCGTGGTTGGTGGGTCGAGCTAAGGATGCGGCCTAAGCTTAAAGTGCTCAAACGAATTCGGGAGGAGTAGAATCTGAAGGGGGATCCAAAATAGGACTTTAGGTCTTATTGAATTCAATGAGCTGTATCCTATTCTTTTCCGAGCGAGTCTCATCAACTTGAGCTATTTTGAAAGGCCTAATAGATACTTGAATGTAAACAAAGTCTTTCAACTATTCATTTTCTATACATAGGTAAAAGTAAGTACGTACATGCAACAGGGTATTATGTGTCATGAATCCCTGTTCTTCCAAGAGGCAGACAGGAATAAAGCAAAAGGATAGGAGGCAAAACTACAAGCCGCCGGGAGGACCATCCAGACGTGCCATACGAGACTCCAGGTCACGAACCCAGGGCTCAACCGTTTCAACGTTCGAACGCAGAGCAGCTTCACCCTGGGACATCTTCTCTTCCACTGCTGCTAGACCTTCGCGCCACTGCTCGATTTCAGACGTCATTTCAGCCTGGTGCTTCTCTAGCTCGTTAAGGGATTCGGCGGCGTGGGCTGCGCCAGCATGGCAAGCGCGCAGAGAGCGAAGGCGCTCGAGGACACTCGGTAACAATGGATGAAGGGACTGGATTGTGGGGAGGGTCGCATAGAGGGCTTGAATTTTAGCAGTTTGCTCGTCGTTCCCAAAATTGACATCTTGCGCAGGCGTGTCATCTTCCGAGTTCGCGATGCGTGCATTCTGAGAAGCCTTGGCTGCGTCGGCTGCACGTTTACGGGCAGAGGCGAGGGCTTCGGCGTCTGTGGTCAACTTGCGAACCCTTGTAGAAAGAGCTTCGAGATGCGGAGTAGTCATGCCTGGCATCGATGGGCCCCCGGCCGCAGGGTTTGAACCAACTAGGAGACCAGTGAGAGCTGCAAGTCTAGAAGCAAGCTGGTCGATAGCTGGGAGGACGGGCTGGAGTGCAGGTTCGCCGATGCCGCCACCAACAAATGGGTTAGATGAGCTTGAAATGCCCATAGAGGATTCAAGAAGAGCTAACCGGCTTTCGAATGCAGCGGCGTGTGAAAGGATTCCCGCGGAAGTGGGAGCTGGTTGAGGGAGTACAGACGGGTGTCCATCAGCGGATGACTTTTGCTGCGCACCAGACTCCGCCGTGTTCGCATCGGGAGCAAGCTTCTGGGAAAGAGCAGCAGCGGCCGAGTAACCTGAAGGAGTCTGAGTGCTTCGCGACGAGGCATGCAAGTTATCCAGTGCCCGACTCAACTCCGCGACACCGTCGCCCAGTTCCTTGTCACCCTGTTGCTCCGCAGATTGGGCCGGCTTCGACTCGGTCACAACTTGTCCCTCCGCAGAAGCTTTGCTAGCCATTTCCACTTTCAGGTCCTCCACTTCGCGTCGCAGACGTGCCAGCCGCCGGTCGAGCGATTCGTCTTCACTGTCACTAAAGTCACCGACTTCCTCTGTGCCATCGTCGCGTATCCGTCGACGGCGGGTCTTATTCTTGCTGCGGTATGCTTGTCGCTTCATGGAAATGCTGTCGGAGAAATTGGCGTCGCGGGCATCCACCGCGGCACCCATAAAGTGCATGCGCGCCTGGTCTGCGTTGACACCTTCACGGTCGATATCGGGACTAGTGCCTGCGTCATCATGGTCGGAGTCGGTGCGGACAGTTGCAGTCTGCAATTTCAAAACTTATCAGCATGTCATATGCTATGTTGCGTTCCAATGCGACTTACGGGAACGGTGGATGCTTCGTCGGTCAGGTCAGGGGTTTCATATATATCTGGGGAGGGGTCCTAAGGCTGAGTTAGAGATATTTCAAAGATAGACAGAAGCAGGGAAGTCTTACAAGGTCCGGAAGACCGGCATATTTCTTGTTGAAGGCCATGGTTGTGTACAAGAGGAGACCGTCAACAATGGATTGGATTGGCCTTTGGGAAACACCAAGAGCTCACATTAAACAATTCGGCCTGAGGCAGAAATGCGGGCCGATTGAGGCGGTCAGGCACGAAGGCGGTCAGACAGCCCAATGATGTCGTTATGAGTCAGCGGAAGCACGTGTCAGCTCGAGCCTCGGGAAGGAGCACATGCAAAAGAAAGCGCGACCAGCAACAGAGTATATTAGGGAGACGATCGACCGAGTCAAGACAATTCTGCTTTGGTCAATTTCCCCTGCATTCACAAACTCAATTCCTTTTTCAACTCGAACAATTGCATCCGTTGTGATACTCACGACCTAAGTACTTCTACTACCCCACCATCACCCCGCATTCCTAGCTTCAATCAACCAAAATGGCTGCCCCCGCCGATATCACCGTCAAGAACCTCAGCGGACAGTGGGTTATGGTATGTTAACCACGGATAACAGATAGTATTTAACCTCGCAAGAAAGAAAAAAAAAAGCTAACCATTTTCATGTATCACAGGACGCCACACTGTCCAACCCCACTGACCCCATTCTCTCTCTGGTACGTGCACGATATGGTCTTTTCATAGCTATTTGCAGATTGTGAGGTACTCTGCATCCCAAGTGGTTGAGAGGATACACAATTCAAAGTGCTATATACAGTATTGAACAGATCCGCTAACACCCACACAGCAAGGCGTCGGCTGGTTCCTTCGCAAAGCCCTCCCCTACGCCACCGTGACCCTGCACGTCCACGAATACGCCGACTCCGCCGATTCTAAGGTTTACCACATCGACGTGGACCAGGTGATCACCGGTGGAATTACAGGCACCAAGGAGGCGCGCACCCTGGACTGGACTTCTCGCGAGCACACCGATAACATCTTCGGCGCGGTCTCCGGCAAGTCACGCCACTTCCGTGGAGAGAAGGGCCGTCCTGCTATTGAGTTCCAGACTAGCGTTGCCAATCCCGAGGACGAGGCCAAGATCCAGAAGTTCCTCCGTGGCGAGATCCTGGCGGATGGCTCGGCCAGCGATGGATTCATCATTGACAATGAGGGTGAGGAGTTCGGTGAAGGCGAGGGTCTGTTTGTGCAGAGCTTCGTGGAGAGCAAGGACAACGGCTGGACTGCTGAGCAGGTAAGTGCCTTTAGCAAAGGTTTCGGGTGTGTCAAGAGTCTAGCTAATCGAGTTCATTTAGATCTGGGGCTTTGAAATTGTTGATGGCGAGCGTCGCCACACTCGTCGTGTTGCCGTTGTCAAGAACAGCCAAGTTGAACTTGCACGTCTGGTGTACACTTTCGAGGCGCGGCGCGCTGAGTAAAGGGGAAATCAATAGGAAAGGAAATTTTCGGGCTTTTAGCGTTGCTTTGCAACAGTTTATACACGGAGAACAAATCAATCTTCATGTGCAGTTTCTCTTAATTATCTTACAGTAGAGTAGGAGCCATGGATACTAGTACATCGCGCAATGCTATTTTATGCCCAGGTGCCCCTAGGGTGCAGGGGTAGGCATGTAAGAAGCAAAGAAGATTACTCGGAGTATGAGCAGGTAATGGCTTAATAAAGGTAGGTGAATTATATACTCTAAATCTGATTTATCAATTTTACCAGCTGTTATACACTCCGGTCGATTACCAAACACGTAAAATCAAAAAGACCAGGTATAGCCAGAAGTTGTGTTCATTGCAATGAGCCCGTGGGCAAGATTTTGCTGGTAAGAAATTGGAAAAATGGAAGGGGCATAATCATGTCAGGAAATGGGAAAAAGGGAGCACACAGCGGATATCAATTTTAAGAGTGGGTGGGCATAACGACGCTAGCCTTGGTGCTGACGGCATCCTCAGCCTTCCAGAAGCTGGTCACAGTCTTCTGCTGGGTGTAGAACTGCAGACCGGGCTTGCCGTAGAAGGTGTTGGCACCACCACCGGCGATACTCTTCTTGTTACCGGTGAAGGAGAACATGGGCAGAGGAACGGGGATAGGCACGTTAATACCAAGTTGGCCGGCCTCGATATCCTTCTGGAACTTGGAGGCAGTCGAGCCGGAGCGAGTGAAGATGGCGGCACCGTTACCGTATTCATTGGCGTTGATCAGGTCAATAGCGTCATCCAGAGTCTCTGCATTAAGGCAGACCAGGACAGGGCCAAAGATCTCCTCCTTGTAGCACTTCATGTCGGGTGTAACGTTGGTGATAATGGTAGGGCCAACGAAGTTGCCGTTAGGGTAACCTTCGGGCTTGTAGCCACGACCGTCAAGAAGGATGGTGGCACCCTCAGCCTCAGCGCTAGCAATCAGGTCTTCAATACGCTTCTTGCTTTGGGGGCTAATAACAGGGCCCAGGTCCGCACCCGCCTCGAAACCACCGTTAACACTGAGAGCCTTGGCGCGCTCAGCAATCTCAGGCAGCCACTCCTTGGTCTCTCCAACCATAACGGAGGTGCTCAGGGCCATGCAGCGCTGACCGGCAGCACCGAAGGCAGCACCAACAATGGCGTTAAGAGTCTGGTTCTTGTTGCAGTCGGGTAGAACGGCGGCGTGGTTCTTGGCACCCAGGTTGGCCTGGACACGCTTGCCGTTGGCAGAACCACGGGTGTAGATGTACTCACCAGCACGGTTGCTGCCGACGAAGCTGATGGCCTTGATAGCGGGCGCATCGAGGATGAAATCCACAGTGGGGTGGGTACCGTGCACAATGTTGATAACACCGGGAGGGAAGCCGGCCTCCTTGGCCAACTCAGCAAGGATCATAGCCGCACCGGGATCACGCTCAGAGGGCTTCATGACCAAACAGTTACCAGTGACAGTAGCAATGGGGATACACCACAGAGGAATCATGGCGGGGAAGTCTGGCGGACAGTCAGTATACCAAATCCCTTTCGATATAGATATATTTATATTCGCTTTTGTGAAACTCACTGAAGGGGCAGATAGCAGCGACAACACCAAGAGGCTCACGGTAGCTGCGAGTCTCCATATCCTTGGCCACCTCCAGGACCTCACCAGTCATCTGGGAGGTGATGCCACAGGCAGTCTCAGCAACTTGCAGACCACGGAGGACATCACCACGGGCATCGGCAAAGGTCTTGCCTTGCTCCAAGGTGATGGAAGCGGCCAGTCGGTCCCAGTGCTCGCGAATCAGACTGGTAAACTTGAAGAGAATCTGCTGCCTCG